TGCTAAATATAGGATTGAGACAGTCTTGAAGTTGACGGAACCTGTGAGGAATAGCCGAGGGACACCCTGTTACCATGTCATTCGCGTACTTGCATTTGACGAGGTTCGGATGGATGGGAAAGTTAACTGGGGACAGCAGGGGGAATGAACAAGGATAAAGTTGCTTGTAAAAGAAAACATCGTGTTTTTTATGGAATCTGAACTACCCAAATGGCATCGTCTCTTCTTTATAGTATGCAGATCAGGCACAAGACGTAATAGTCCGAACCGGAAACTCTGCTTCTCCTATCTGTCCATCGACAAACTCCGTGTGCAGCTCGGTATTCAGGAATTGATTGCGAGAGGGCATGCCAAAACATTTGACCACATACAGGTCAAGGGCTTGAGCAGGTTACTCCGGACTGAAACATTGCTGGCATCGAAGTGAAGTGTCACTGAAGATGAATGGTGGGCACTCTGTGCCGTACTATGATCAGGTCTACTTGCCGGTTGTAAGAAACTGAGTATGCGTTTAGCCGAAAATCATCGTTTGGTACATGTTGACTGTCGATGTTCTGCACAGTTTAGTGCAGAGAGGACGAGATGGAAAATTCGCCTCCCTAGAGAACTGGAGCGAGTAGTCTGCCTCACAACAGGTACCACTCTGACGTAGAGGTAATCATGTGGTGGCCAATAAACGATGTGGAGCCGAGGTACGAAGAACTCATCTGACAGATTAGGTAGAGTAGAAGCCTCTCGCTCTTCACACTTAGGTCTATTCGGTTAGATACAATACAGTGGCGTTCTTGTTACTGTTTCATACCATATGATCATATTTCAAGGGATGTGTGTATGCGCAATTAAACTGTGTAATCTGAGTTAATCATGGCGGTTCATTTTCATCCCCCACCCCTCCATCCCTCTCTATCTAAGCACGTGCACTCCTTACACACATTACACATTCCTACGTACGGAGTCCGCTGCCCCAGATTTTTTTGTACGAGGATGATGAAGTTTCCGATACTGTGCAGTCTGCATCGAGTAACGAAAAGGTGGCTTGAGGCCATGACCTTCGTTACACGGCCTACCACAGTCAGCTTGTCAAGTACAGGTGTTGATCAAACTCGTGCAACATCACTCTCATTTTGGAAATCAATTTCAGTCTCCAATATCATAACTGTATATTGATGGCCTCGGGTAAAGTATGTTTATTCCTGATTTTATCTTTCACTTCTATGTTCTTAGTTCTCTTCTATCACCGTTTGAATTAGTGTGACCTTGAGCGTTGCGATAGCATTTGTAGTAGTTCAAAAGTTACAACTCAGTTTGGAAAATATTTTAAGCAAAACAGCATGGGAATTCATTCTCCCTAATGAATTATTCCTGTTTCATGGGAATGTTTATTGGGTTGAACACGTGTATTCTAAGTTGCTTATGTGTTTTCATTCAGTGCACAATAAATAAGCAAACTAATGAAAATATTCTAACTTAAATAAATTGATAAATGATTTGGCTATAAAATACTCAGACATTATCCACAATACTGAAAGAACTGAAAACATATACGAAGAAACATACAATGCCTGTATGAAGTCTATGAGACATTTTACCACATAAATTCTAGGTATGTTTTCCACTGTGATTTAGTTATTTTACAACTGACGCACTAACGACCATTGTCAAAATCGTGAAATCGTACATTTCAATGGCATGTGGCTAACGGAAGCCGCGACATAAGCGGGTTTTATATCAGACATGTTACGTCTGATGTGGGGCAATATCATATTCAATCCCGTGAATGAGCCTGGAAAAACTAGGCATTGGGATGAACAAATGTGATGAAAATCAGGATGTTGTATTAATTTGGTCAATATCTGTAATATTTGATTGCGGAGGTGATCTTCACGTCTTCAGGTTATCAGCCACGCTCACAACTGTCGGTTCAGATTCGTACAGACCAGGTAGAGAAACAAAAGAATGGTTCATTCATTCGTTCATCCAATCATTCATTCAATATGTTCATTGCATTTCTTTGTCCTTTGGAGAAGTTGATCGTTTTGATAAGGTCACACGAAAGGGAGCTAAACCAGGTTCCGTCGCCTCTGATTGGAACAAATAGGAACATTTAATATGTTGTTGTCGTTTTTTGTTGTTGATGTTGATGATGATGGACATCAAGACGTGTTTACTGGCTTCAAACATGTAAATGATGAATGACGTCATGCGCAATGACCGACAAAGAGAGACCACTGTACAGGACTATTTCGTTCTTGTTTGGATACGGCAGCGATGCGTCTTATTTTAGTGTCTCTGGAGGGATTCGAATCACAGCCCATCCGAGTAGGGGCCAAAATCTCTGCTCCCTGGGTAACAGGTATGGCCACATCGATTACCTATACCTGTTCTTGATTTAACCCATGCAAATTCGCATGAGCATACCTACACAATGTGTTGTTTGCCGACCATGTAGCTGAATGGTTCCCAGCAGTTCGACTCCTGGCAAGGACATGGTAAATAGCACTCACGACTGATGAGTCCCAACAAGAACAAAAAGCTGTACGGTGCATTCTTCAGTTTTCACGTAAAGCTATGTATTTATACTGTGGTTAAAAAAAATATTGGTTCATTTTGTGTGAAGTGACCAAGATGCTCATCAAAAAGACACTCTCAGTGGCCAAAAAATGCTTTACTTCTTGTGTGTCTGTGTGCGTGGGTGCGTTTCCCTATTAATCGACAAAGGTTTATGCACCCTCTCAGTGATGAACGACTACCTGCCCAATTGAACTCAAGCTTCTGTATTCACCGCAAGTAACTGATCCATACGTGTTCCGCTTGAGCAAATTCGTCTTCAATCCGAACAGTTCATGTTCGACTATTTGGCTCCATCATCATTTGGATCCATACAAGGGATCAATCCCCAGGGTAAAACCATACGCATGTCACCCTATAAAGCCCATTCACATTATTTAATGGACTGTTGTTGTCACTGGAGCAAAAAAGAAAGACCAATGATCTTCATAAAATCGGTCGGTCAAATGTTTCACATAGTGCAATCTTGTCCACCGATGAGAAATCGATCATACCCTATTCAAACATGCTTTTCCCGCGTTCACGCACACGCGTGAAACACTCGCCCAATAATGCATACGCACGCATGGGTGCGCCGTGGTATGTCCGCGCGATAAGTGATTACGCGTAGAGAGACGGTGTTTTCATCGGAGCTGATGCGCTGGGCCAATTTGGACAGGAATAATCATTTGCGTGTGTGTGTGTGTGTATGAATGTATGCGCATATTTTGACGTGTAAGCGCGCGTGTGTGACTGTGTGTTTGTGTATGCATATTGAACCACATTTATAGATGAGATCGTGTGCTCGATCGCCCATTCGTTGCGGGCGCACAGGTAAACATGTTTGTTTGAACGTCTCTGATACGTGATTGGCCATTTTTCATTGGGATGCCAACCCCCGTCTCTACTCGGATTGGTTAAACCGTGGGTGTGAATCGGACCAACCACGATCTGAGTCCGAACTGGCAGGACCAGTCATCGGGATGACTGCATGCCAATCCCCACATACACGTGCACAGACATGGAAGAGCGAATCCGATTTACCTATAAATGCTCAATAATCGAGGTATTCGTTTCACCCGTCCACACGTTGCTTGGGTTGTGACCGACTGTTTTGCGAGCGGCGCGGTCACATTCACACACCCGCACACACACACACACTCACACACACAAACACGCATATATACACAAACAGAAGGCGTCGTCGCATCCGGGCCCATCCTTCTTGAACTCAGTATTGTCACTAAACGTAGTCGGTCGTAGTGGCACAACCCAGTTACACTTGTCCAAAGTTCCGTCACATCAGCGAATTCCGCTAATCAATCCCGGTGCTCTAAAAAAGCAGGCCTTTGAATCCTTTTTCTTGCTTATTCCACGAACAGAGGAAGTACACTTCGATTTCTGTGTGTCCCTTTGCACGTGTCATTCATTGCCTTGTTGTGTGGAGCAAATATATTTGTCATTTAAAGTTACTACTAGCGATCGCGTGCGTGTGATTAAGCCAAACCGCTCGACTGATCAAAGCGAATAGAGCTTAACACACAAATATATCTACGCCCCTCTCCCCTCATTCCAATCGCAAAGCTGTGAAACAAAGACCAAAAAAATCTGCATTCGTGGATAAAATTTGTGCCTCATCATCTGCATTCCTCTATTCTTTCACCGTTGTTCCTCGACTGATTCCGGACGTGACTTTGTTCGACTGGATGCGAAGATGAACAACACTTCCGTAGTTCTTTCATTCAATCCTGTGTACCCTTGTGTGTCCAAACGATCCGGAAGTGAAAATGTTATCCAGTTAGCCGAACCCCTAGCACGGTAATCGTGGGTCAGACTAGTTCCACTATCTCTCATACGTGATTGATTCCCGTTTCCCACAGCTCCATCCATACACACTCCCAAATTCTCTGTGTGCTGCGCTGTGCTCTGCGTGCGTTAAGGTGAGTGCGTACTACAGATAAATCCCCATCACTTGATTGATATCAACAACCTGGGTACATTTTATTGACCAGTTCTCAAATCAGCAAAATGCTTCGTTGTGTCAAACGCAAACCGAATCGGAATACTATCGGCGAACGCAACGGTCTGGGCGAGAGAAATTGTGCCACTTTGCCTCGGGAACGAACACACACGGACGAGGTAGACGCGGATTTCGAGGACGGGGGCAATGCCCGTGGACCGAACTCAGCCAATCGACCATCCCGGTGGTCGTTGTCGAAAAAATCGGCCACTCTGTCCACAACCACCCCGTCAACCAGTACACAGTACACAAGAAGCGAGTCACGATCGAGCAGTAAGAGCAAAGGTTTCAATGTGTTTCGCGCCAGTAATTGGCGAACGCTATCCCTCAGTTCCCTATTCTCACCGTCTCGTAAACGCAAACAACAACAACTACAACAGCAACAACAAACAGGGTCGGGATCAGCCAGTTCATCGGGCTTTGTCTCACCCACGGCTGAAACCGAACCATTGACTGGAGCCAGTTCGTTGGATCGATCCACCAAACACAAGCGACCGGAGTCGATCGAATTGCATTCATTCTCCTCCAGGCAGACTAAGCCCTCGAGCAGTGGAAGTGAGGCAACCACACCGACAGGAATGAAGACAGACACGAGTAATCTGATCGGACAAGATGAACGATTGCGTGAGATGACCAAGAACGCGTGTGCTGAACTGAGCGATACGTCTGATCATACACCGACAGAGCCTATTGGGCCACCACTCGGGGTGGATAGCACCACGGTAGACGGCTCTTGGCCGTTCGTGGACGCAAACGGAACACATGGGACGACGACGACGACAAAGAAGAAGGAGGAGAAGGAAGACAAAAACAAGACGGACAAATCGCGCAAACTACACTGGATCGCCAGTACGGACAAAGCAACCGGGTTTCCGATTGAACAGCCACCCAAACCAGATATCACACTGAAGAAATCACATGGCAACGAACGGGTGAGTGATTCGAAGAAACAAATTAACCTATACTTTTAAGTGGGTTGAAATCATGTGTGTATGGGTCGGGGGAATGGTTGAGTTGAGTGAGCGCATGATAGATAACAGGTTTGTGAAGATGAGTGGATGATGCAACAACGTGATAAAGCTTTTACCCCGGATCGTCTTCATCTTAGTGAACCTTCTATAAACGTTTCGATTGACATTATCGGTGATGGTGGTGCTTAAACTGCAATCCGCTTATCGGGACACTTTTCATGAGTTCGAACCCAATCAACCCCGCACCACCCTTGCGTGTGTTGCTAGTACCCGTGCAAACGAGCGCCTTTTCCTCGTTCTTGTTTCATTGTATTTAATCAAACGCGAACGAAAGTAAGAACATCCTTGTCGTTCTTATCGCAGCTGCCATCCGTCCATATTTGCCATATTAATCAGAGTACAGTTTCTAACATTGATATGATCAAGTTATCCACCTTCAACCACGTAACCATCCTTTCAGTTCAAAGATTTTCTAACTTACCCGTACTGACCATCAATCCAAAGGCACTGTGGTTTATTGAAATCACCTGGACAATTAGTGTCAAATCAGTCCCCTGAAGGCTCATAAGCTCATGGCTGGCCCATTGTTGTTATTTTCAGCGTTTTAAATTATACCCAAATCATCTCAACATTGGTCTCTCTCCGGCTTACACCCAATCCTCATCTGATTGCCTGGCATCAATCGAAATTGTATGGTCTCAATCGATGATATACCGTGTAAAGTAGATCAGGTCATCCGGTCCGATTGTAAACTTCACGTGGCTTGTGGCTTTATTGTTGGGTCAATAATTTATGTCTGTTGTTTCCCCCCATAGTTGTTTTTGAACCTGAAGTACAGTTTTCGTGTAATGTGTAGCCCAGTTCAAAATGATTTTCGGCCCTCTCCATCCTCGTTTGCTTGATGCTCCCCCACCCCTCCCGGGCCCTAAATGAAGGGAGAGATAGATAATGGAACACTCAATCGGACATTGGCTCCACAAGATACCTAATTGTCACTGTCCTTACCTGAACTCTGTCTTTCTGATTCCACAGTCAGAGACAGGTTTCATTGACCAGTCTTCTGCATACATATTTATCTTCAAGGGAAAACGATGAGCGAATTGCCCTGCCTACACCCGTAATTCTGCCCGTTTTTGTTGGCATTTTTTTCGTTACACGTGAGTCGTTTCCTCACCGTTTTTCACAGAACGAATCAGGCGGTGTTTTGACTGCACGACTCCGTCAAAAAAATGCAGTGCTATGACAGACCAAACCAGACCAGACCAGATCAGATCAGATCAGATCAGTGCCGAATCGCCTGTTTGAATAACTGGAGGGCTCAAAAATGCCTCATTGGGGATAGGTTTGCCTCTGTTGATGACCGTTACAACGGGAAAACTGGTGCACACACACACTGAACTAGACACAATCGATGCTTCAGTGTCGTCTGAGTGTTTAGAGTCAATCAGGTTTGTTCGGTATTTCGCAGAGCTAAAATGCTCCACCAAACGAGGAATGCGAGGTTGCATCCTGTCCGATTAAAGTGAACCTTGTCACCCGTTTCAAGCGGTGATGGCCTAGTGGTAACGTCCCCGAATGACCACCCCGGAGGATGTGTGCTCGAATCCCGGCACCATCGCTTGACTTTCCCCATTGTATGCTGTGTGTTGTATGGCAGCGGTTTTATTAGCCGCTTCCTCCTTCCTGAAGGTTAAATCATTCAACTTATTATATAGAACGAAGTAAAAATAAATGAAAACGTTAGCGGTTTGATAACGATCCTAGTACTCCAATGCAACTGGCGAAACGCGTGGTTCAGCCGTTGAACGGATGGCTAAGAGCCAGATCGAGTTCGCACGGCTTGACTTTCCTCATTCCAACCGGTTGAGAGCCCGTCAGAAAAGAGGTTGATTTGGGGAAGAGATGTGGTACCCCATTGCAAGCAAAAAGTCCCAATCAATCTTTTAGGAGTAAACCGGTAAGGTTAGTAAGAGACTGGTCAGATATGTGCTTTGCTATCCACACAACATGAGCCCTTTCACTTGCGTGATCAACGCCAACGCACCGACGGGTCAGTCCGTCCCCCCCACCCCCCCACCCCCCCTGGGAGCTTCCAACCAACCTGACTATAAATTGTAAATTTGTTTGTACAGTAAGAGGTGGAAAATCAGTACGGTGAAAATATTTTGGATTGATATGATATGAATCTTATTTAAATGTTCACTGAATCAAATGTTTGCTCACCCAAACTTTATATATATTTATATATATATATATATATATATATATATATATAACAGTAAGATAGGACTGTTTGAGCTACTCCCCCCCTCCTTCCCTCAGGCAGGTAGCGGGGTGGGACAGGGCTCAAGCCTA